GCCTCAGATATGATTGCTTTATGACAATAACTGATTATTTTGGACAGGCTATTTTCTGTGGCCCCACGGGTAAACAGCAATTAAATTACATGTTGAAAAGTATTTTCTATGTGTAATATTCATTAGGTACCAATAAAGGCAAAGATAAACTGCAGCACGTACTGCTGTTACAGATGTTAAAGCATTAATAGAAGGTTCACACTTCACATTATTTGTTTACACGTTATTGTTTCACGACAATGTTTGTAAAACCGAAGAGGTATCTCAATTCTGTCTTAAAGATTGGGTACCTGGGGTGCTTTCTGCCTCCTCTGATTTGCAGACCTTGAGTGCCTGTCAGTGGAAGCGCAGCACTCCCTGCAGCGAATTTAAACCCCCTGACAACGCACTTGTGCTTTCTAATCGCTTTTCATCGGTCCCACAGGAGGGGTCCGTGGGGTGGGATTTCGAAACGCCATTTAAAGCCCGCTGGACCAGGCTCCTGCATCGGTTGCGGGAATAATGAGGAATGCATCTTGGAGTAATAAACGCCTAGGAGAACCAACCCGTTTACCCCTGGTGAGAGCCAGCCTTCTGCTAGCCATCCGCCCGGGTCTGCGCGCGGGATTGCTGTGCCGTGAGGATGGACAACACGGAAGCACGCAGCCCGCTGGCGAGAAGAGAGATCAAAAACCATGGGCTACCGCTCAGGTGCTGTGGCTGCCGAGGTGGCTCCGAGGCAGGCCCAGGCCCCGCTCCAGGGTACAGTCTTAATGTTTAACGTTTATTTAGGACTGACCTTCCCGCTGTCAGCTGTAACTCCGAGTCTGGGGAGAAGGAACAGATGATCCCAACCTCTGCAAGCCACCCTTTCTGCGAAAGCGACTGGGATACAGACAAATTCCTGCCGAGGGCCAGCAAGTGGCAGCAGCCACGGTCCCCCTCTGCCCTTGGACAGCCACCATCGTGCCCTTCTGCCACAGCCGCTCCAGCCTTCATCTCTCTCCTCCTCATCCGTGTCCTCAGCACCTGCTTCCAGCTGCAGTCCCTCCTCTCCCATCCTGTGCCGTCCTCCCCTTCGGGATACGCGCCACAGGACCTGTTCTGTTTGAAGGGTTTTCAAAAGAGAAGGTGGGGAAGGAAGAAGGACCAGATGGCTCCTGGGGTGGCAGCGCAACAGGGGAAAAGGGTCTGGGAGCTGCCAAAACAGAGGCAAGTACGGAGTGTTATGAACACAGGGCAACTTGTTCATTTTAATCCAGTAAATAGGGCAGCAAATTTGGCAGAAGAAACACTCTTAACTTGTAAGTCAGCTCAGTGACCTGGCACTGTCAGATTAGTTTCCTTACGGGATGCATTGCCGAACGTAATGTGTCATCATAAATCTCGGTTGCTACAGCTGTTAAAGCCGTAAAGTGAAGCAGAGTTACTAATACACGGCAGTAGTAGCTGTCATGCTCCATTCTGTAATTGAGCATCAAATCTGCAGTTGGGAAACTCTTCTTTTTTGCCTGACGTGGAGTAACTGCATGTCTGCAGGTGCCGAGAGCGTGGAGACAGGTAGGAGCGTCCCACCCATGTGGGGCTGTGGTGAAATCCTCCTGCAGAGCATCAGGAGCGAGCCCCTTTATTGCTGGCTGCCTTTACAAGCCTCTGAGGGTTCCTGGGGGAGATGTGGCAATCCTTCCTCCCCATTCCTGGATAAAAGCAGACATGTGAAGCCCAGCACAGACGCGCAGAGTGCACTAATGCAGGGAACAGCAGTCCTTCAGAAATCTTGAGGTTGAATTTGCTGCTAGAAGCACGGCGATAGCTGGGAAGTTCCAGCTCCAGGGGATGATACGTCACCGCGTAGGGCTTCCCCGCTCCCACCAAGCTCTGAGCTCAGCGAAACCCGAGAGACGCTCCTTCTCCAAGGGGCACCCTTCACCCGCAGGGCCCGTGCAAAGCGGGAGCTCCAAGCTCCTGCTGCGTTGAGACGCGGGGAGGACAGTGAACCCCGGGAGTCGCCGTCTCTCACAAATGTCCTTTTGAAGATGTCCCCACCCGTTAGCCCTTCCACTGCTTTGCTGCGTGCCGCCCCTGGCAGCTCGGGCCGTGGGCTGCAGACGCTGCTTCTCACGAACCCTCTGCTGTGTACGCCCAAAACCACTTAAAAGCCTGCACGAACAGAGCCGCTCTAATCTGTGACAAAGCACGCAGACCAAATTCTTCCAGTAGGGACAAGGCGGTTACGCCTCTGCCCGGAGACTCAGTTTTGCCGATCCGGTTGTGCTGTGAGGTTCCGGAGCGGGCAGCCCAGGGAAGCCCGGCATTTTCTTTTCCCTTATGAAGCAGCAGGGTAGATGCACGCTGAGATGGAATGCGCTCGCTGGAGCGAGTGGGCAGTGGCCTCTCATCTGACTTGTTTTTTCCTTGCACCTGAGCTTGCCCCAACTGCTTAATTGGTCACACGGTTTCCTGGAACCCCGGGGAGAACGAACCGTCAGAAATTTCGGTGGCGCAGGAGAAGACAAAGGCCGAAGGGGGGAGGCGGAGGCGGGGGAGAACGAGGGTTTGCAAATCAGGGTGGAAAAACGTATTTACTCTATTTTGGGAGCCGTGAGCAAAGTCAGGACACATCGCCTCAGGCTGCAGGTGGCACGCGCAGCAAAGGGGGGGTACAGAGAAACAGCGAGGTCATTTCGGGAGCACGGCCTTGGTCACACGAAGCTCTTAGGAAGCTCTTGGGTGCTGAGCTGCCCGTGGGCTCTGCCCCAGGGATTTTGCACTTTCCCCCACTACAGGTTTTCACTTTGAAATCACGGCCGTTTCACCTCCCCCCGAGCAGTCGCACCGCGACGGGACCAACCCCCGGGGGTCTGCATCTGCCAGCCCTGCGGCTCTGCCACTCGTTTTCATTGCAGACGGTGCTGTTTGCCCCCACAGATTCACGGGTTTGAAGGCTAACAGAGACGATTAACCACCTCTTAGTATTCATATAATCCCTGGATAACATAGTCCCGCCGTAAAACTCAGCCCCTTCAATAACTTGCACTTGCCTGCAGACTATCTTCAAATTGCTCAGGAGATGCCAGTGTTTCCCCATGGTAGTTTGCTGCAATCGTTAACTGCTTTCATGACTAAAGCTCCATACGCAGTTTGCTCTGGTTTTAATTTCCACCTTTCTTTTCAGTATGCTTTTTTGCTTTGCTAGATTATAGGGGCTTTTATTGAAAAACTGTCTGCAATCTTTACAGCTTTTCCAGTAGGCCCTCTATTTCTAGCTGGCGGCGATGGCAACTGGAAAGGAGTTTTTGCACGGGTAATGCAGTATTGTAGCTTAAAATAATTTAAAGGAGAGTTGTCCCCATCCTCAGATACACAGTCTCACCCTTTGCTTTCGGTCAGGTTTATGCGATTTAAAACTAATCCGTCCAAAGAGGGGATTTGCCTTTGGCCGGAGCAGCTTGCCACCCGGGCCGCCGCACAACCACACAGGCACTAGGGCGAGCACGGGAGGTGAGGCGGGAGGACAGCAAACTTTAAGCTGCGGTGGACTGGTGCTCTCAGAAGCCTTGGGGCCCATCTCCGCTACAAAGAGCCGCCTCGGTCTGCTCGGTGGGCCACCAGCACCGCGTGGAAACTGTGCAGCTCCAAAGACGCTGTCCCACTGTCCATCTCCCAGCAAGGCTGACGAACTGGTGCATGCTCCCTGCTGGCACTGGTGAGGCAGCCCTGAAGAGCAGGTGGGTAGCATCCTCGGCAGGATCTCCGCGGCGGCCCATCCCTGCCGCAGCGTGACAGCCGCTCCCCATAGCCCAGCTCCATCCACCTCTCCTGCGAGAAGGGGACAACAATCTCCCTTTCCACCAGGTTTCAGTCTCACCCTGTCAGGCCCAAGGCGAGCGCCGGTCTCCCCTCCTCCGTGGCTAGCCGGCATCCCGCAAGGATGGCCCTTGCAGACAGTTTTTACAACAGTTTTGCCTACAGCTGTCTCGCACAGAGCTGCGCCAGAACAATCCTCCCAGCGACCGATAACGAGGGCTTTCAGGCTCTCTTGTCTCGTGCGGGGAGGAAGGGTCCGGTGACGCGTCCCACATGAGGCGACAGCTTTACCATAGCGCTCTCTAATGAAATCTGACGTTACCTCTGCTCAGAAACTTGCGAAGTCTGGCTGACGCTGGGTGAAACCTGCGGCTACGTGGTAGAGATCCCGTCGGACAAAAAGCCTCGAGGAGGAAGCGAAACACTGGGGTCTTTGGAGACGAGAAGGAAAAGCCGGGGCTGGTGATGTGTTGGGTGGTGACGTTTCGCACAGGCAGCCCGCTGAGGGCTGAGGGAGAGTACCCTTGCCTACGGGGGAAAGCGGGTGCTCGGCCTCCTCCCGCCGCAGGACAGACCTGAACCTTACGAGGGGCAGGGAGAAAGTGGCGGCACCGAGATTTCTGCATTGCCCCACAGTCTTCAGGGGTGTCAGATGTGACAGACCTCGGAATCGGGAAGATTACCAGAAGATATGACGCCTCTTGTCTGTGCTGCGTCGGATTTCAGGGCCGAATGCAAGCGATAGCTCGGGTTAACGGTAAGAGATCAGAATAAAAGTTGGGATTTAGTTACAATTCCTGTTTTGCAGCTCAAAATCTACTCGCTGCACGAGAGCTACTATAAACCGGAGGAGCGGGGCGGTTTTCAAGCTGGGCCGGACGTTTGACTTTCAGCGGCAAGAGCGCGTTCAGCTGTTTCACACGGAGCCAGTAAGGAATTACGCGGTCTGGCTTCCCTTCAGGGTGCCACGGGACGCGTGGCCGGTTCGTAACGTGCGTAACAACAAAGGTTCACAGAACCCGTGACATTAAAAAGGTGCCTGCAGCGTGAGTCCGGAACGAGTCGCCTCCGTCCAGCGCGGAGGCCCTACGCAAGCGCGCGCGTGCTTCCGAGCGTTTGCCGGGAGGCAGCGCGGGGGGAGACCCCCGAGTTTAAAAAGGGCGAGGCCGAGACCTGCGGGCGCGGGGAGGGGAGAATTGCGCCGGTACGCGCAGATGCGCGAGGATTATTATGGAAATTATTACTTGAGTACTGGTGAGGGGAAAAGAAAGCAGCGCCCCGACATCGCTTCCCGGGCGTCTGACGCCCGCCGAGGCCGCCGGCC